CAATATTTCATTAGGTCTGAGTCTGAACGTTAAAAACGTAGTATACTATTTTTAATAACTTACTTAGAATCACATAAATTTAATTATTATATTCTTTAAAATTGATTCTAGTATCTAAAAAACTGCTTCTTATATATTGCACATTTTATTAAAAAATATAAAAAGTCATTTGACATTTTATACATTCATCTTAAACACATTTATTTCCATTTTTAAAATTAAAACAACGACAACCAACATTTGGAATACAACGTTCACCGGCTAAACAACATTGAGTTTTATGTGGAGCATATGCACATTGTTTTTGATCTGGTGGACAATCTTTAATTTGCGATGAAACTTTTTTGTTTGATGCTAATATTGGATCAATAACAGATTTCCAATCATCAAGTGACCAAGCTGAATTAGCACTTGTGGTTACACCATTAATTAAAAACGTTGGAGTACCAGCAACACCTAAATATGATAAGAAAATTAAATTTATTTTAATTATTTATTAAATTCAAATTACCTCTTGAACAAGCATATTTCCATGAAATACGTGTTTCACCATTGATGTCATCATTGGCCATACCTGCTAAAAATTTATCTTTTGTTACTAAACCAATACTATCAATAAATGTAGCAAGTGAATCAATAACTTGTGGCATAGTCATTGTTTTCGTTGCATCATTATACCACATTTGTTGATTTTCGAATACTTTAGTTGTATATTGAAAAATAGCATCAAGATTTCGATTTGTAACATTAGCAACAACATGTAAACCTTGAGAAGCTACAAATGAATTTGTATGATATGGAAGTGGAAATGTATGAATTCGAAGATGAATTCGTGTGCCATATGCTTGAATTACTTGTAAAACAGTTGGCCAAGAAGCTTTACAACCTGGACAAAGTGGATCCAAAAACATTTCTACAACAACATGAGCATCAGCTGGTCCACCAACACCATATCCATCTGGACGTGATGGAATAGGTACTTGAGCTGATATAAAACCAACATAAACTACAGCAAGTATTACAGAAATAATTGTTAGTTGCATTAGTTTTCTTTTGTTGATAATATCTAAAAGAATACACTAGAAGATATTTTTTTTGTTGCCTTCATATATATATATAAATAAGATAAGGCAAGAATAGAATAACATATGTCATACATCATCATGACTAGCAAGAGATTATTTTTCTTATCATATCAACACAATTTTGCTTAAAAGATATCTTACCAACATCTTATGATGATATTTAAACTTTATGATTTGTATTATTTTGTATGACAAAAAGAAGTAGAATAAAGTAATTTTAATATGATTTTTTTATTCTCATGATCAATATCTAAAGCTAGAAATAGTTACAAATTCTTATCAGATATAATTTGTCTTATTAATATCTAATCATAATATTCAATCATTTTACTGTAAAATAATTGATTCAAGAAGATCATATATATTGTTACAAAAAAAAACTAATGTCAATCTGTAATTGTATATCAATATTCTGATAGAACTTTAATTTAAAAATCAAATAAATACTTACAATTTGTTATTTACTGATTATTTTCATTTTATGACAACTTGTCTTTGTTTTCATTAAATTCTTTTTCCAATAAATGAAAACATATTTCATGTGCAAAGATTAAGCAGCGGTATATCTACTTAAAGATCAAAATTTGATCCTTCGTAGATATACATCGAATTATATGAATAAGAAAAGAGTCTTTTTTTTTCTTAACATAAAAAACAAGTGATATTATAGGTTTGACGTCATATTTGATAGGAATCTTTTCTTTTGTTTTTACTTTGTTCACACTTTACAGTAAGACTCTTACGATATTTTTCATGCATACTTTTAATGATCTTTAAGTTGTATACTATTCAAATTTTACAATTTATAAAGTTACTCTGCATTTGAACAGGAAAAATTTTCTTCATTATTTTTATTCACTAAATTGACATATAATCATTTTTTTTAATGAAAGAGATCTATTAGTTTTCTATATTATAATTATTAAGACGAATATCAAAATACATATGTTTATCTAACGATTATACTTTAAACTAATATGGTTAAATGAATTTTACACTAATGCATAAAAGAGAAAATATATGTAAAGTTATCACGAGTATTTATTTTTCGATCGACTTGATCATCAAAATCTGTTGATGAGTAAGTGCACACCCATCCCTTGTTTATCTCTATTTACTCTTTTTTTTTTACCTATGACGCACCGAAGATATTACACATTTACGTCAATGAAAAAAAATTATATAAGATCGAATTTCTACCATGTCATTCGAATAAAAAAATATCGAGTCATAATATTTCATTTATCTGAAGATCTTTTTTTTTCTAAAATGCATATCAAAATAATGATATTACTTCTATTATTGGGAACAATTAATATTATCTATACAATTGAATTAAGATCAAATAAATTAATTGAAAATATTTGCAATACATTGTATAGCAATGACAGTCTTTCACTCGATGAAAATCAACAATGGGAACTTATCTGTCAAGAATTATTCCATTCAAAAGATGATGATCAATCTATTATAGAAGAACAACGTAATACTATGGATGGTAAGTATCCAAAGTAGATCTAAAACAAAGTCTGAATTTCTACATTCTTTTAAATTGATCTACTTCAATAAAATTTCTATAACTTTTATTTATTTCAATCTAGAAAATATTTCTCAAAACAAACAGATGCGTAAAGCTATAAGGGTTACAGATGGTATTCTTAGTGGTAAAATTCGTGGTGGTGGAAGTCGTGGTGGAAGTCGTGGCGGTAGTGGAATTCGCGGTGGTAGTGGAATTCGTACGTCGCCTTCTGTCATAAGATATCACAATACTCGTACGGGAGCAACAATATCTCGTCCAAATGGATGGCTGTGGAGTCGATCTCGATTAGTGTTTCTTCCATTAGCTATACGATATTCTCATCGATCTCGTTCATCATCTAATCGATTCACAACACCAGCTACTGGCTCACAGACTTATTATTATTGTACATCAAATAATGATGGTTCAGCTGAAATTCAATGTAGTTCTATTAATAGTGATTCACAATGTTGTGAAGATCAAACAAGTCAACAAGTATTTTGTTGTGGTGGTGATATTCCAGATGATTATATTGAAGATATGAATCGAGCAACAAGAAGAGTAGCACAAATATTTTATACTCTTACAGCATTAACTTTATGTATGCATTTGTTTGTGCGACGTTTCTATCGATGACAAATCTATTGTCAGAGAAATGATTAATGACTTTCTTTATTCAATGATTTTAAATTTAATAAAAAACAACGGTATGTAGTGTAACTATGCGAAGCGTAGTATTAAGAGCATTTTCGATAATTTGGAACATTATTTTATTTTTTGAAGAATTTTATAAAGAAAGCAATCGATTTTTGATGAAGAGTAGTGTCAAGATTTTATATTACAACAAATAAATATATCACATCAATTTTTTTTATTATAGTTGGCACATATTCTATTTGAATCTATTAATGAAATACAAAGTTTGACTTTTGATTGTTTCAATAATTCTTATTAGCTCTCGTAATATCAACACATCTAATTTTACATCTTAAAAGACAACGTACAGTGTTGTAAAAATCTTCTCGAAATAATTCACTTGTCAAAGAAGGAACATAAAATTTTGTCTAAAATGGACAACAAATTAAACTTGATTTATTTTGAAATCGATATAACTAAAAACTTTCTTGCAGTATAATTGACAGATGCAATAAAATAGAAAATAGATGTTAATTCAAATGTGTGAATCATTAAAAGTCAATATAGCACAACGGATAAAAGAAGGATATGAAATCAACTGAATGAAGTTTATGTTGAAAGAGAAATATTTGTTAATATAACTATCAATATTTGTTGATCAACAAAAGTACACCGACGATTCGAATTTCAGTTTTGTTTTTGTTGTATTCGAAGACGAATAAACGTATTAGTAAATGTTGCAATCAAAAGAATAATCCTTAATAAAAGAGTTTGAAAATATTTTAATCAAATAGTTCATACGTAAGGAATAATAAAGACCAAATAAATGAGTTCATTTTTGTATATATGACAGACGAGGAAATAATTATCGAAGAGAAATGAATAAGTTGTATTTGATATAGGAGCAGAAATATTTGCTCTTAATAGAATGAGTTTCTAACGATGGTAAAAGTAAATGAGAATTGAATATAACGACACAATATAAGAATAAATCAATGTTGCAAACAGTATACATTTTCTTGTACATAATTTTTTGAATCGAAATAGAAAACGAATACGAAGCCATCGATCAATAGAAATAGCTAAAG